TACATTAAGTGCGACTCCAGAAACACCATGTTGCTCATCTCTGCTTCAAATGTCAGCTGCTCGATTACGGATACTCCATCCTGCCCACTGGGGACTGAGTTACGCTGTGACACCGAGGACTGCTGCCCCCGCTGCCACTGTGGTAAACACACATAGACTTACTCAGGAGGCATACAGACAATCCAGTGCACCGGGTTAGGAAACTGCCCTTTAGCTCGCAAGCGATGCATGAATCATCAAGCTTGCATTCATCTAACTTTCCCTTCAGTCAAATCATCCACACAGTGTTTTCATAACAACTTGCAGTTGCAGTTTATGTCCAACAGATGACTCTGGTGTCATCCCAGAGATTGTTATCCTGATCTGACCTTACACAAACTGGGGATTGAATTACTTTTTAACAAACGACTGTGGAAATTATTTGTGCTTTTCTCTCTGCAGCTCCTGTGAACGCCTGTGTTCTCAACCACACGCTGATAGGGGTAAGTCATGCAGAGAAGTAGCAGCTGCATTGGTATAAAAATGACATTTGGAAATGATGTTTTATTTTGATATACTGTATATGTGTTTGTACAGGCAGGGGAGCAGCTGATGGTTGATGCGTGTACACGCTGTCAGTGTAGGATAGTGGATGGTCCAATCAGGAAATATGAACTGTCCTGCAGGAAAACAAGCTGTCCCTCTTGCCCCATGGTAGCCATCCTCAAATTATTTTGTCTGTTTTAACTCTTGTCATTTCTCATCCTCATCATAGAGAGATGCGAGGGGACACGCTTATCAGTGGAAAGCTTAGACAAGTATGTGTGTGTAGAAATCAGACGTGCCTGAAGGATATGTGCAAATAATTATTGCTGCATAATTATGAATCTCAAAGTGTTTGAGTCAGTGAGGGACAAGAGGTCACTCAGCAAACTGCTCTCCATCACTGACAGCCCATTGCACCAACTCCAGTCCACTAGAGAGCCAGTGGAGCTCCTTCTCCACCGGACTTATTAAACCCGACTGCCGTAAAGAATGCTTCAGGAAATCCATCCTGCTATTCTCTATAAAGCTGTACAACACGTCTCCTTTTTGTACCACTATCAAACCTCCTAGTGTACATGTTATTCATTAATGCTACAGTGGCTTGCAAAAGTATTCGGCCCCCTTGAACTTTTCCACATTTTGTCACATCACAGCCACAAACATGAATCAATTTCATTGGAATTCCACATGAAAGACCAAAGAAAGTGGT